GAGACATCAGTTTTCCAATTAACTGATTGGAATATTGATTTTAAAGTGTTTTTCAGCTGTCATGGTGAAAGACCCTTACACCTGAAATGTTTTGGACTCTGTGTTTAGAATTTGCTGTTGTGTTGCTGATGCTTGTATTGTTTAAGCTCCAGTCAGATGCTGCCTCTTGCTGCAGCTTTTTTTGGGACAAAAAATTTGAACACAAGTTGTGTTTGGCTTAATTTTGCTTTGAGAACTGTCCTTGGCCACAGGGTCTTCAGAGAGAACCTGAGCAATCCCCTGGAGCAGCCAGAGGTTCAGATCTAGGTCCATTGTCCAGAACTATTTGAAGCAGGAGCAGTATTTGAACTTTCTCAGCTGGCATTAGGAGTGACACAGGGTGTGTTTAGAATGTAGGGGAGGAAAGATTTAAGGCTTGAGAAATTAATGTTCCATCCCTTTTTGTGGAAAGTGGAATTAATATTTCCAAAGCTTTTTCCACTCTAATTGTTTCTGGAGGAGCAGGTTTACACTATCAGTCAGGAATTCCAGAAATCAGCTGAAAGGTGGAACTTTATGTGCATTTCATGTGTTTAAAAATGGTCTATCCATCGAGGCAAGACAAGGGTTATGAGTGCTATGGGCTCTCCATTGCCTAAAGTTTTGGAAAGATTGTTCTATACAGATACTTTAATCACTACAGGCATATTTCATCCATCTAGTCCTTTGTTCTGCTAGAAGGTATAAACAGAAAATCCCCCAAACCAATGCACACAAGACCATACAAACCCAACTGTCTGGGATCCATGCACAAAGGTGCTGCTTCTTTACAAAAACACCACTTTTCTAAAAGTTGACAAACTTTTATGCACATATATGCATTATTTGCATACATGTGAATGCATTTGAAGTGACAGAACAAGACAGGATTTACCTTTTTCTTCTTGCCTAGTTCTTTGATGTATTTGCTAAAAAACAAAGTGTTTTATTCTCTTCTGAGTTAGATATATGCACACTGCACAGGATTTTTTTTTGAGTTTTCCCTGTTAGTGATCAGGCTTATATTCAAATGGAGTTTATGTATACAGCTGCTGAGAATTATGGTTGAGGTTCCAATGTCATATTTTCATATGTTTTTTATATCAAAATCAGCATGCCTGTTTTAAAAAAAATCAATCATATGATAGAGAACTGTGTGATGGTTAAACTGATAGACTAAATCATAAATACAGCTGTTTTTTTCTGATACATTTGTTTCTTCCCCCCACATGGTCTTATAAAGAAAAATAGCACGGCGAAAAAATTTTGCAGCTCTGTGTAACAAAACATTACCTCAGAATTTGGAGCTTTTCTTTTTATCTCCTAGGACTGAAAAATGCTGTAAATCAGAGAAAGTGTGTCAGTATTGATCAGCTATTAAGTAGACAGGGCTTTTTCCTAATAGCAGCATTTTGATTTAGGTGTCTGACCTGGCTTGCCACGGCCCTTCCCTGTTCATTATGTGTGTGTCTGGTCTGAATGCTGGTGTGTGCTGAGCTTTCCTGACCACAGAGTGCAGCCCCTCATCCCCACCAGCACCATTTGTGCATCTCAGAAATGCTGCCATTCACTTCCTACATGGATAATCACACATCCCAGTTCTTTAATGACCTGAAGCTTTTTTTTTTTTTTTTTGCACAGGGAATATTGGGGAACTTGTGCTGCAGGAGACTGGGGCACTGGGTCCCTCTTTTCCTATTTTTGTCCTTGCTTCCCCTGTTATCTGTCCCTCAAAACTGCTTCCCACTGCACTTCTGTTTCCAATCTCCACTATTTTTTCTCCTTTGATCAGTAAGGAGTGCTAAGCCTCACTTGTAACTCCTTCCCCTGCTGCAGATTGCCAAATTGAATCCATTTAAACTACCTTCCTGCTCACATCTGTTTTCTGAAAGATTTTCATCACTGCCTGCATGGTGTATTCTTGAAATTCAGCCCAAGAAACCAGTTCTTGGTGTAGCATTTTGCAGATTATATATTAAAAAATGCATAAGCCATAAATCTCTCTTTGTGATTCACAACAGTGGCAGTGCATGTTTCCCTCTGAATCAATTGCAGATTTCATCAGTCCCACTCTATACCTGACTCTGAATTTGTTTTAAGCTCTTATTTTATAAGTGTGTAAGGGCTATGATAATTTGTCATTTCTCTAATTTAATCTATCTCCAGAACCAAGATCTGGCTTATTAAAACTGAAAGTGTTTCGTTAACAAAAGCACATTTATTCCTGACAGCTCAACAAAATTAGGGTCTCCTCCAAACCCCTACTCAGACTTCAAGCCTTTATGCTCTGGTATAAAGTGACAAAAGCTTCAGGACTATTCCTGTGCAACCTTATAAAAAAATGTTGAGAGATTAATCTCTCAGAGCTTTGTCTTAGGCATGGGGGTGTAACTGCCTTAATGAATATTATAATGATATTTTCACAAAAAAAAAAAAAAAAATAGCAACCTAAATCCCAAGTGTTAAAAATAGTCAAAATCTTGGGTAGGTGATCTTTCATAGTGGCAAGTTCCCCCTCAAGATCTATCAGGTAAATGATGCACATATTTCAAGCTGTCGTAGTAGCTACTTTTACCAAGCAATTTGGTGGAAAAGGAGGAAAGGGAGAATATAACATAAAAGGGCTGACACCACAGGTCCCAGACCTTTATTTTTTATTTTTTTTAAAATAAAATGCAGCAGTGAATTAAATATCTCTGAGTGTATTCTTACTCAGAGTTTTACAATAGTGCTTAGGATCAACCCTTGAGCTGTTTTCAGTTCCCACAATTTTATATCCAGAGAGTTGGAAGAAGGATTTCTACTGCCTGAGATAGGACCTTTGCTATTATTCAAATAAAAGAGTTTATTCAGTCCTAAGGGCAAGGTCATCTTATTGATGTTGCTCAGATAATGGCAGAAATTGGTCTGAAAACCTACAGTTTAACTATTTTTGACCTGTATTTTTGTGTATTATCCCCAAACATTTTTCCTGGTTTCTTGTCTCTCTTTAGTATGAGAACAATCAAAGCAAATTTTTGCTTAGAAAATGAAAACCTCCATTATTCCTGGGAGGGATGCATTAAATTTTTTCAATATTTTATAAGATTTTGGGATGAAGGCATTCTAGATGGATTGATCTAATTTTCATATCTTGATAGGAATGATATTAAAGAGCCAAATTAGAGGATACATAGATATATTTATGGCAGTGAAGCCGTGGGAGCTGTGAGCATGGCTTTGGAAATTAATCCTCAGAAATCCCTTGGGAATTCTCTGATGGGTTTATTGAGCACTTGATCAAGGGAGGTTCATGAATTTCCAATACTTGGTTTTTCAGCAAATTCTTCTTGAGGTCATTTGAGAAAAACTCTCAAGGAAGCAGAACTGTCCTGAATAAAAAGGAAATTTATTTCGTGAGTTTAAAAACCTGGTGAAAGGATAGGAATCAAATGCCAGTTTCAGAATGGAGAGATTAATTTCTTAGTCCCACAGGGACCAGTGCTGGGACCTAAGTTTTTAATATGACCTTGGAAGCTGGGGAAGGGAGTGAGGTGGATGAGTTTTCTGTAATCAGGGCAGCAAAAAGGAGGATGTGAACAATTACAGGAGAAGATTCCTGTCTCAACACTTGCCTTGATGGTGAAGCAGCAGCTGAAAATCAGTGCAGCTGAACACAAATGCACATAGGAGGAGATGGACCTAAGATAGGAATAGGTAATATGTGAGAATGTGTCTAATTATCAGTACCCAGGAGGGAGATCTCAGAGCCACCGTGGTCAGTTTGCTGGAAATTTCAGTACAGCAGTGCCCAAAATGGTAACTAAATTACATGTACAGAGAATAAACCAGGAAACAGTGCCCTTGGGTACCTTCCTTGGGTTCCTGTTCCTTCCCTTTCAGCTGAAAGGTGCTGAGAGAGATGGGAAATGTGCTCCAAGGGCTGGAATCGCATCTGCACAAAGAATGATTTCATTGTGGCAGGAGAACAGGACAGGGCCCTGTCCCACCACGGCTGGTGCACACTTAGACATGGTGGAAATGCACTCAGTGTTTGCTTTTAATCACAGCAGTAGAATTAGAAGCATGAAACAAAATGAAGAAAGGTATTTAAGACCCCAGAAGTGCTTTTCACACAAGGCGTAATTAAATTTTGGAATTCATTGACATAAGAGATTGTGGGTGCCAAAGGTTTGCATATGTTCAAAAATCAATTACTCATAGGGAAAAGAAAAAAAATATATGGATTTTTCTTAAGCACAAAGAAAATCCTGAGCCACAGGGTAGGTCTGGGAGGGTTTAATAAGAGAATCACTGCACATACTTTTTCTTATTATTTTATTAAGAATCTCCTAGTAGTTATATAAAATGTTACAGATGGACTCTTAGTCTGAAGCCATATGTCCATGCTTAAAGGAAACAGAATTATACCAGTTTATATTGAGATTTGGCCAAAAAAATCTGAGATGAACTCTGTATTTTTCATTTATGTAACGGATCAATGACCCCAAGAGATGGTGAACGTGTTGAAGTGTTTATACAGGGTTAGAAAAAACAAAATTAGGATGCATTTAAAAATAAATATATGTTGAAAATGGTATGAATTTGGAAAATAACAAAATATTCTTCCCTGAATCTATCTTGCTGTATTTTGAAAGCAGTCCTCTGGGCTTACGTGTTTTTACTGATGAACTCATAAATAAACTACAAAAAGTAGGAATTTATTTGAAAGCCATATTTACTTTCCTGTGGGGGATAGCTACTTCCTATCTCCCTGTCTTTTGATAGTGTAATAATTCCTGGCCATGTAATGTGTGATAAGTCAGAAAACCGTGCACAGTAAAAACATGAACGTTTCCAAAGATCATTTTTGTTTATACGCATTTTAAGGTAAAATCAACAATTTAGCAACTTAACCCATCCTTCTAAACAGAGTTAAATAATTTTGCTTGGACATTTCTCACCCCTCTCCTGTCTCAGAGCTGTTTTTGTCCCCCGAGCAGTGGCACCCAGCTGGTGACGTCGAGTGGTGACACCACAGTGCGGATCTGGGACCTGTCGAGGCGCGGCTGCATCCTGACCCTGCGGGGCCATTCCCGCGCCGTGCGCGCCTGCTCCTGGCACTCCTGCGGGGACTTCGTGGCCTCTGCCTCCATGGATGGCACCAGCAAGGTCTGGGATGTTAACAGGTACCTTCATTAATTGATACCTTCATTAATAACCAGGGATGTGCCTTAGCTCCCCATCGATTCGTGGAGTTCACTCGGAGAACAGAGGGAAATCAAAGGCAGCGCTGGAAAAATCAGCCTCTGATGGGATTTACTAGACACAGGCATAGGAAGGACTTAAATTAGCACAGTGCCAGAAAGAAAGTATTTGCTTTTGCTTGGCATCTGTTATTCCTCATTGCTGGTTTTGTTTTTTTAAGGTAAAAGCTTTGTGGAATCTCAATATGTAATTTGAATAAGTAACTGAATAAAACTTGTCGTGAGTTTTCTATGTTAGTGTTTCAAGCTCTTAAGTACACAACACACTTTAAGGTTAGCCAAGTGGAAATTTATTTTAGTCATTATCTACATTTCAGCAAGGTGACTCCTGATTAATAAATCAACATATACCTTCTTTATTATCCAGGCAAATGCATTTTTATGAAGGTGCTTTCAGAATATCAGTGCATTTGTGCTTACCAGTTAATTATTATTTCCTTAACTCTCTCCAGGTGTCTTCAGTTTTGATTACCTTACACCTTAAAGAAATGGGATGGATTTATCTCTTTCCAAACTATCTCTCCATAAGTAGACTCTTGAATTACTGTACTGTACTAGCTCTGATTTTTAACAGCTGAATGTCATCAGACCAGAGAAGTTTCCAGTCCTATAGGCCTTTCCCTTGGTTCTTTATTATCCAGTCCTAATGGATTTTTGCATTTCTTATCCTTCTTTTTCTTCCTTTGCATTTGAATGAGATGAAATACCCCTTCATGATTGTTGGCCACTGCAGGGGAAGAAGCTTCACTGAAAGAGCAAGGGAAATTTTCTTCTTCTGCTCCTTTGTCCTAAAATCCCTCCCAGTCTACTGCAGTTGCAATGAGCTCTTATTGGAGACTTCTCAAACTGTTGCAATTCATCCAGATTCCATTGAGAGTTAATTAAAACTCTGTCAGTATCGAATTTCCAGTCTTGCTTTCAAACCATGAATTGAGGAAGCATTAAATGATACTAAAAATATTGTTTTCAAAATGGGATAACTAACAGATCCTTTCATGAATTATTCCAAATTATTTTTGGGGGAAAAAAAAATAAATCTAATTAATGCTTGGCAAAGTTCAAGCCAGCTGAGAGGTGGCTTTTATAACAGAAATGGTCAGCCAGTCCTGAGAACTGATGATGCTTTTTCCACCATTAGTATCAGCAATAAACATTAATGGTCAGTGTTTTCCTTAGAAATGGAAAAGGCAAAAATCTCATGTATTGTTGCCTCTTTTCCTAACCTGTTGTATATTTCTAATGCCTTGATCATCCTTTATGGCATATTCATGACCTTTAAGAAATAATACTAACAATAGCTTTAATTTTATGTCAGAATGGGTTTGAATTTCATAGACAAAGGTTTTGTTTAGACAGTTGAAAATTCTTTCTCTACTGAGGAAGCTTTTGTAGTGAGGGGAATCAAAGCAAACCTTCATCACCAGCCCATGGTGCCTCCCACTCCCACTCATCAGCAGCTTCCATTTCTGCCTCCAGTCTGAGCTGTGCTGTGCCTGTGAAAATAAGAGAGTAACATCCCAGCCATGATGTGAAAGGCTGACTATCCATGCAGAACCATTGGAACACCAAAAATTATGCAAAATCTCAGTGCCTACAGGCAGCAGGAAGTGGCATAAAAATGTGACATGTTTAGATTAAAATAAGGTGTATTCAGAGTATGGGAGGAAAAAAAAAGGCCCTGTGGGAGTCCTGACTGCTGGGTTTTTGGTGTGTTCCCAGTAAAAGCCAAGTGCTGGCTGCTGCTGCATTGCCTCAGTGCAAAACCAGGTGAGTTGTGCTGTGGTTGGTTCAGGTGAGTTTGTGGAGCTGTGTGTGGTGTAGGCACTTGGAATGAGATGAGTGCTGTGCAGAAATGACACAGAATATCTTCCTTTTGAAGAGATTCTCTAGCAGAGGTTGGGTACAAGATGTGGCTGTTTCAAGTTTAAGCCATCCTGGTTCTGCAGAGCACTCAGCTGCAGTTGGGCCTTATGCCCACGTTGGCTCACTGAAGTGAAAAATCAGCCTGTGCAGGATGTACAGCAAGGTTTGGGAATCAGGGAAGGCTATGGACAGATTAATGAGCTGGTGTTTTCCATTGGATTGTTATATTTGGAGCTGCTCTGCTAAAGAGCCCGCAGGGAGTTTGGGCTCGGCAGTGCTGGTTCCTGAGCTTACCTGGCCGAGAGTGCAGCGCTGAAATCCCAGCTGTTCCCAGGGTGTCCCCTGGAAATGTGCCACCAGCTGGGCTGGAGAACACCACAGGAACGTGTGCCCTCCCTCAGCCTCCCCCCACAAGCTGGGGCTGTGTGACAGCAAGGACACAGAGCAGGCTTTCCGTGGTTCATGATGCTTGGAAAGAGATTTTTCTCCCCATCCCCAGGGAACAGGTGCTCATCCAGGTGCCAAGCTCTGAGCAGGGACAGAGCCCAAGGGAACATTCTTGTGGGAGGATAATAATCAGTGATCACAGTTCATCTAGTGGTTTTATTCTTTCCACTAACAAGGAATTAAGATTTTGTAAATGAGAGCTGTCTTTCTTCCCAAATATTATGTATTTGGATGGATGCCTGCTTTCAAATTGAATGGGCCTGGAAAGCAGCAGATTGCAGGGGAAGAAAAAGCAAGAAGGATATCAGAGTTATCACTGCCACCTCTCTGAAAGAGGTATATTTTAAATAAATGCTATGAATTAAAGTACATCCATTCCTGTAGTGGGTGGCAATTGTATCTTTATTTCCATTTTTATACATTAGGAGCATACTTTTCTATAAATGTTGCTTTTGGAAAATATACAGCATTCTCTGTAGTTGTAAACTTGGTGTTAAGAAACTGGGGAGGCTATTTGCTATCTTTTAGCACCCAAATCCAAGGTGCAATTTGCACAATCATCAAAGTGCTTATTGGAGTCCAAAGAATACAAGATGTAACATCTCTTGAATAGGAAAAGGTTGCCAGAAGTTTTAATAAATTACATAATTAATTCTTTGCCAGCGATATGAAATTTCTGCCTACTAAATATTTGAGTTTTATTTTCTTATAACGTGAAATTACTGCTGGGTTTTTGTTTTATTTTTTATTATTTACAAATATTTTTCTTCTGTGTATACTGAAAGTTTCAATCATATATCAAGTCACAAATACCATTCCTACCAGGAGGATAATGTGAGGTAGCTTTGTAGTAAATTATGTTCTTCAGGACAACTTATGTGCCTTCTATTTAAAAACAAGCTGAGTTTAAGAGTAAAAGAGAAAGCAAAGAAACAAAAATCCAAGCCTCTTCCTTTTTCCCTGGAAACACAGACACAAGCTGAGACAGAGCCATGATCTGAGTTACTGAAGGACTTGAGGGAGTCTGAGTTCTGCTGTTGGAACTTCCTGATGCTTTCTGCTGGGATAATTGGTTGCTTTTAAAGGAAATTAAAAAGAAAATGGTGTAACATTGGGATGGGGAGTGCCAGGGAAGAAAGGTGCCTGCTATGGCTAGAAAAATTTAAACCAAAACAAAACAGCAAAGCAGGGACTTATCTGCTACCTTCAAAATTATCCCCACTTCTTAATGATTATGGAAATAGGAAATTGGAGAAGAAAGGGAGAGGTTTATAATTTGTGGCCAGGATTTTATTCAGCAGCGTAGCTCAGGTTGAAAATATACAGCCAGTTATGTTCTAGCAGCAGGCAGCTGCAGGGATGTTTTCTCAGACTGTAAATTCAGCACTGTCAAAGTCATTTTGGCAGGATTAATTTCAATTATCCAGTGGTAAATATCATCAGAGATTTACAGCCAGATCTCTGATATGCAAATCAAAGTGAGCATCATATATCTGGTGTAAACACAGGCGGTTGTTTAGCTTTGCAGACATATGCTCTACACCGAATGTTAAATGCAAACATTGTTATTTATGCTTTGAGCCTGAGAAATTGGTTGCAGCAGTCAGAACAGTCAGAATTGGTTTTCTCCAGTTGATCCATTCTGCACTCATTAGACCAGTTCTTCTTTTTTCTCTACTTCCTTTCATTAGTACAAAATACATGGAATTAGGCCAGCAAGAAATGCAACTGTGCTGTCCTGCAGCAGAGCCCAGGGTGAGGAAGTGTTTGTGAATTGAAGCCATTTCTGATTGCTGTAATCCATCACTCATTTGTTTTCCTTTGCCATTAACATGGCAATTTTTATCTGCTCACTGAAATTTCCCCCATCATCAAATTTTATTTTAAAATTTTAAAACTCGTGTTTACCTCAGTCTTCAGTCATTTCTCATATCCGTTGGTGCGTTTGTTAAAATGCAAATTTTAGAAGTGACCAATCGTGATTATTGTTAATTCTCCTGAACAACCTCTAGGATAATGTCCTGTTACTGAGGTGTTAATATATTCTTTTACTTATTTCTAAATATACAAAAAAAAAAAATAAAATTGTTGACATCTTTTGCTTCTCTGCAACAAGACCATTTTCACTTCTTTGCCCAAGTGTCAGATGTAGCTGACATTAATTACTAGTTTATAAATCCTTCTTTTCTCTGAAGCCCCTATTAAAATTGTCTTCTGTTGTGACTTCTCTCCACTTAGTACCTGCTGTTTATGGTTTCATTTCTTCTCCTAAGAAGCATTTAATTTTGCAAAATTTAGGGTAAGTATTTAAAGAAATCATGCAGGAATGGATTTTTTTTTTACTTAGAAGCGCCCCATCAGCTTTCCTTGGAATGATACCATGGAATGATACCATGCAACCATGGCACTGCCTGTGTTTTATTAATGCCCACCTTGAGTGGGTGCAGTAAAAGCCATGGTTAAGTTGATTTTAAACTGCTGTTAGACTTTGGGGTGTTTTGTTTATTTTTCTCTAGTTTCACTAAAGCAATGATTTAACATTTTGCCAAGTGCACTGGTTACACTCTTTGCTTTGTACCATCAGAGCCCAGGGTTTAGCCTGGCTTCACCTG